ACAGCCTATTATCATATATTGGCAGAATCTGTGAATTCTCAGTGATCACATAAAATATTTAGAATCGCTCTATCTCTTCTAGTTTAGCCAGAAAACGCGTTTAAAGTTTTGCGAAAGATTTTTTTAAATATCTCCCAAAATATTTTGGCTACAGCCTATTATCATATATTGGCAGAATCTGTGAATTCCCAGTGATCACAAAAAACACTTAAAATCGCTCTATCTCTTCTAGTTTAGCTAGAAAACGCGTTTAAAGTTTTGCAAAAGATTTTTTTAAATATCTCCAAAATATTTTGGCTACAGCCTATTATCATATATTGGCAGAATCTGTGAATTCCCAGTGATCACAAAAAACACTTAAAATCGCTCTATCCATTCTAGTTTAGCTAGAAAACGCGTTTAAAGTTTTGCAAAAGATTTTTTTAAATATCTCCCAAAATATTTTGGCTGCAGCCTATTATCATATATTGGCAGAATCTGTGAATTCCCAGTGATCACAAAAAACACTTAAAATCGCTCTATCTCTTCTAGTTTAGCTAGAAAACGCGTTTAAAGTTTTGCAAAAGATTTTTTTAAATATCTCTAAAAATATTTTTGCTACAGCCTATTATCATATATTGGCAGAATCTGTGAATTCCCAGTGATCACAAAAAACACTTAAATTATTACAGCCTATTATCATATATTGGCAGAATCTGTGAATTCCCAGTGATCACAAAAAACACTTAAAATCGATCTATCTCTTCTAGTTTAGCTAGAAAACGCGTTTAAAGTTTTGCAAAAGATTTTTTTAAATATCTCTAAAAATATTTTTGCTACAGCCTATTATCATATATTGGCAGAATCTGTGAATTCCCAGTGATCACAAAAAACACTTAAATTATTACAGCCTATTATCATATATTGGCAGAATCTGTGAATTCTCAGTGATCACATAAAATATTTAGAATCGCTCTATCTCTTCTAGTTTAGCCAGAAAACGCGTTTAAAGTTTTGCAAAAGATTTTTTTAAATATCTCCCAAAATATTTTTGCTACAGCCTATTATCATATATTGGCAGAATCTGTGAATTCCCAGTGATCACAAAAAACACTTAAAATCGCTCTATCTCTTCTACTTTAGCCAGAAAACGCGTTTAAAGTTTTGCAAAAGATTTTTTTATTACATTCTACAGCCTATTATCATATATTGGCAGAATCTGTGAATTCCCAGTGATCACAAAAAACACTTAAAATCGCTCTACCTCTTCTAGTTTAGCCAGAAAACGCGTTTAAAGTTTTGCGAAAGATTTTTTTAAATATCTCCCAAAATATTTTGGCTACAGCCTATTATCATATATTGGCAGAATCTGTGAATTCCCAGTGATCACAAAAAACACTTAAAATCGCTCTATCTCTTCTAGTTTAGCTAGAAAACGCGTTTAAAATTTTGCAAAAGATTTTTTAAATATCTCCCAAAATATTTTGGCTACAGCCTATTATCATATATTGGCAGAATCTGTGAATTCCCAGTGATCGCAAAAAACACTTAAAATCGCTCTATCTCTTCTAGTTTAGCCAGAAAACGCGTTTAAAGTTTTGCAAAAGATTTTTTTAAATATCTCCAAAAATATTTTGGCTACAGCCTATTATCATATATTGGCAGAATCTGTGAATTCCCAGTGATCACAAAAAACACTTAAAATCGCTCTATCTCTTCTAGTTTAGCTAGAAAACGCGTTTAAAGTTTTGCAAAAGATTTTTTTAAATATCTCCAAAATATTTTGGCTACAGCCTATTATCATATATTGGCAGAATCTGTGAATTCCCAGTGATCACAAAAAACACTTAAAATCGCTCTATCCATTCTAGTTTAGCTAGAAAACGCGTTTAAAGTTTTGCAAAAGATTTTTTTAAATATCTCCCAAAATATTTTGGCTGCAGCCTATTATCATATATTGGCAGAATCTGTGAATTCCCAGTGATCACAAAAAACACTTAAAATCGCTCTATCTCTTCTAGTTTAGCTAGAAAACGCGTTTAAAGTTTTGCAAAAGATTTTTTTAAATATCTCTAAAAATATTTTTGCTACAGCCTATTATCATATATTGGCAGAATCTGTGAATTCCCAGTGATCACAAAAAACACTTAAATTATTACAGCCTATTATCATATATTGGCAGAATCTGTGAATTCTCAGTGATCACATAAAATATTTAGAATCGCTCTATCTCTTCTAGTTTAGCCAGAAAACGCGTTTAAAGTTTTGCAAAAGATTTTTTTAAATATCTCGCAAAATATTTTGGCTACAGCATATTATCATATATTGGCAGAATCTGTGAATTCCCAGTGATCACAAAAAACACTTAAATTATTACAGCCTATTATCATATATTGGCAGAATCTGTGAATTCTCAGTGATCACATAAAATATTTAGAATCGCTCTATCTCTTCTAGTTTAGCCAGAAAACGCGTTTAAAGTTTTGCAAAAGATTTTTTTAAATATCTCGCAAAATATTTTGGGTACAGCATATTATCATATATTGGCAGAATCTGTGAATTCCCAGTGAGCACAAAAAACACTTAAAATCGCTCTATCTCTTCTAGTTTAGCCAGAAAACGCGTTTAAAGTTTTGCAAAAGATTTTTTTAAATATCTCCAAAAATATTTTTGCTACAGCCTATTATCATATAATGGCAGAATCTGTGAATTCCCAGTGATCACAAAAAACACTTAAAATCGCTCTATCTCTTCTAGTTTAGCTAGAAAACGCGTTTAAAGTTTTGCAAAAGATTTTTTTAAATATCTCTAAAAATATTTTTGCTACAGCCTATTATCATATATTGGCAGAATCTGTGAATTCCCAGTGATCACAAAAAACACTTAAATTATTACAGCCTATTATCATATATTGGCAGAATCTGTGAATTCTCAGTGATCACATAAAATATTTAGAATCGCTCTATCTCTTCTAGTTTAGCCAGAAAACGCGTTTAAAGTTTTGCAAAAGATTTTTTTAAATATCTCGCAAAATATTTTGGCTACAGCATATTATCATATATTGGCAGAATCTGTGAATTCCCAGTGATCACAAAAAACACTTAAATTATTACAGCCTATTATCATATATTGGCAGAATCTGTGAATTCTCAGTGATCACATAAAATATTTAGAATCGCTCTATCTCTTCTAGTTTAGCCAGAAAACGCGTTTAAAGTTTTGCAAAAGATTTTTTTAAATATCTCGCAAAATATTTTGGGTACAGCATATTATCATATATTGGCAGAATCTGTGAATTCCCAGTGAGCACAAAAAACACTTAAAATCGCTCTATCTCTTCTAGTTTAGCCAGAAAACGCGTTTAAAGTTTTGCAAAAGATTTTTTTAAATATCTCCAAAAATATTTTTGCTACAGCCTATTATCATATAATGGCTGAATCTGTGAATTCCCAGTGATCACAAAAAACACTTAAATTATTACAGCCTATTATCATATGTTGGCAGAATCTGTGAATTCTCAGTGATCACATAAAATATTTAGAATCGCTCTATCTCTTCTAGTTTAGCTAGAAAACGCGTTTAAAGTTTTGCAAAAGATTTTTTTAAATATCTCCAAAAATATTTTTGCTACAGCCTATTATCATATATTGGCAGAATCTGTGAATTCTCAGTGATCACATAAAATATTTAGAATCGCTCTATCTCTTCTAGTTTAGCCAGAAAACGCGTTTAAAGTTTTGCAAAAGATTTTTTTAAATATCTCGCAAAATATTTTGGCTACAGCATATTATCATATATTGGCAGAATCTGTGAATTCCCAGTGATCACAAAAAACACTTAAATTATTACAGCCTATTATCATATATTGGCAGAATCTGTGAATTCTCAGTGATCACATAAAATATTTAGAATCGCTCTATCTCTTCTAGTTTAGCCAGAAAACGCGTTTAAAGTTTTGCAAAAGATTTTTTTAAATATCTCGCAAAATATTTTGGGTACAGCATATTATCATATATTGGCAGAATCTGTGAATTCCCAGTGAGCACAAAAAACACTTAAAATCGCTCTATCTCTTCTAGTTTAGCCAGAAAACGCGTTTAAAGTTTTGCAAAAGATTTTTTTAAATATCTCCAAAAATATTTTTGCTACAGCCTATTATCATATAATGGCAGAATCTGTGAATTCCCAGTGATCACAAAAAACACTTAAATTATTACAGCCTATTATCATATGTTGGCAGAATCTGTGAATTCTCAGTGATCACAAAAAACACATATAATTGCTCTATCTCTTCCAGTTTAGCCAGAAAACGCGTTTAAAATTTTGCAAAAATTTTTTTAAATATCTCCAAAAATATTTTTGCTACAAGCTATGATTCAATTTGTTTCTAAATTACTTATAATTTAATTTTTACATGTATTTTAAGCATCAAATGTTCACTGATTCTGAATATCTGGATTGTCTTTTAAAATTTTTCAATAATTAAAATTTGCAAAAAATTTCGAATTTAGTACTTAAAAATCATGAATTAGAATAGATCGTAATCACACTAAAATAATGTACAAGAACGAATTACAAATATCGATTTTTAAAGTACCTTAGATGCGCCTAGATAGTGTTATCAGTTTTGTTTCGAACTTTTCACAATATAATATCATTATTGACATTGGTAACATTCTATTTAAAGCAAATCACTTCATTCTATATACACATTAAGTGCTTACACAACAAACCACTTGAAAAATTTATAAATTATTTTTCATTCATAACCTTTTACAAAATTTAAGTGACATTGTCAAGAAACTTATCAGATTCAATTAATAAATTTTAAATAATAATGATAAAAATTTGTACATAATTTTGTACTAAAACTTTTAAATAGAATTTATCGGTGAATTAAAGCTATGATTTTAGAAATTTCCAAAAGAAGCAACGAAATTTTCGATAAAAACTTGAGTAAATATTTTAAATTTATTATTAATAAAAGTCTTATACATTCCTTTAATATAAAAGTAGCACAATAAATATTATCGACATTAAAACAATGAGTTTTAAAATTTCAAATTGAATTTTCTTAATTCTAATGCATAAAACAAAATAATTTCACTTAAGTATTATAAATTTAAGGTTTGTCTAAGAAAAACTCAAAACTAAAGTGATTTTATCACAGTTTAATAAAATTACCTAAAAATATTTTATATTAAAACTCTTAATTTAACACAATTTTCTTCTTATTTAACAAAAATCTCTTTCATTTCAACTTCTGTTGTGTCAGCTGGTCTACCATTTTTACCATATATGAAATATTCTTCAATTTCATGTAATGTTTTACCTTTTGTTTCTGGTAAAAAGAAATAAATGAATACAATTGCCAATAGCGATACAGCACCAAATAAAGCAAATACATTTTCTTTTCCCATTTCTCTAACCATTGCCGGATATTGATTAATTGCAATAAAAAATAATATTGAACAGAAAAATATTGTTGTACCAGAACATTGACCACGTACTTTTTGTGGATAAACTTCCGATATCATTGAAAATGGTAATGTCATTAGACCAAATGTACTTGTAAATATATATACAATAATACATATAACTTTTAAATATGGTATGTTATTTAAATCAGGGAACCATGTACAGCCAGCTAATAATATCATACATATTGCCATACCAAAACCAGACATAATTGCTGATGGTCTTCTACCCCATTTATCTAATATATAACCAACTAGAAATGTTGTTAATAAACGTGTTAAACCAATAAACATAGCACATAATAATGGATCAATTGTAACACCAGCTTCAATAGCAAATTGTACAGCATAAACAATTAATACAAATGTTCCAGAGAATTGTTGAAATGCAAAAAATATAACCATAATTGATAATGGTTTCCATACTTCTGGTTTCTTTAACATTTTACTAAAATTTTTCTTTTTTTGACCAATCGGATGAACAGCTGATTTTTCTAATCTTGTATATTCTCTTTCAATTTCTTCATAAAAATATGTATCAGTTGATTTTATACCACGAAAATAACGTAAAATTTTCTTAGCTTCTTCATGACGTCCCTGTGTTAATAACCAACTTGGTGATTCAGGTATAATAAATCCTAATATTAATGATATTAATGCATAAATACCAGACAAAATACTTATTGTCATCCAATCATCCTAAAACAAAAATTTTTTAAATAATAAATGTTATCAAAGTCTGAGCATTTGCTTTTTTTTTACCCTTATTAAATATCCAAGCATATAAATTAAAAATATTCCACCAGCAGTAGCTACAGATGATCCTAATGTTAAACGTCCACGTAATTTTGGATGTGAAATTTCAGCAGCATAAATACTACATGGTGCACTTGACATTCCAGTTGTAATGCCTATTGTAAAATATACAAATTGAATAGATAATATTGTGTCACATTATTCTTCCGAACCACATTTAAATTAATTTTTAAATAAAAAATGTTACCAATAATAAATCGTGATATCATGATTTGTATAAAAAATCCTAAATTATCTTCATGAAATGATGTTGTCATTACTAGCCATGATATTAGTGCTGTTATACTTATTGTTACAATTGATTTTTTTCTACCTATTTTATCTAATAAATATCCACATAAAAGGCCACCAATAGGACATGATATTGCATTAATCGATGCTGAAATAGAAAATTAATTTAATGAAGTTACAAAAGAAAGTGGGCAGAATATTAAGATACTTAAAACTTGATTTTAATAAGCAAATTGTTGAATCAACAACTTTTTCTTTTGATCCAAGTAATATCAAGTTAAAAGTAAAATTGCAAAATGTCATTGTACTCATTATTCATAGCTAAAACATTTTTAATATAAAAGTTATTTATAAACTTACCAAACCATGACATTTGAGACATTGTTAAAGCATTCGCATTTTGTGTATCTGTTAACTGTTTTAATGTTACTGTTGGATAACCTAATGCTATACCACTTGATATTACACCTAAATTCGCTAAAATCACCATTGATGTCTGCAAAGAAAATGTAAATAAATTTTACTTTTGAATGTTGCCTTATGTGTATAGCATTGTAATACTCATAGCCCTGGTGTATTACAATGTTATTATAAATGTTAATTAGCTACATCAATTATTATGAATATTAATTAAAAATTAAAAGCTACTTTTGATTTTTTATTGAGAAAGCTGACAAAGCTAATCAAGAGACGTGAAATATTTAGATGTCTTCAACTAAATAAGCAATAATTACAGAAAATATCGAATATAATGAGTCGCGAATTAATTCTTTACTGGCATGTTAGCAAACTATAATAAAATTTTTAGTTAACCGCAAACTTTATTAGTTTGGAAGGAGCCCCCTTATTATATAAATTGTCGTGTTTAATAATAATCTTACCTGTCGAAATATTGCTCTTGGCCTCAATCCCAATGGTTTTAATTTAGTTAAAGGACTACTAGCATCTGATACAATTTGTGGATTTTTCGAATTATCAAAAATATTTTCATCTTCCATACTGACAATTTTAAATAAATCTGAAATTAATAATTAATTTTGAAATTTTAATTAATTTGCAATGTAAAATTAATCTTTTTGTAGTATAGCATTATATTTATTAAGTAATATTTACTAAAAAAGCGCTATAGGTTCCAAGGTTAATAATTCGCAAATGAATTTAAATAGCACAATTCAAAATTTTATAAAATTTTAGGAGTCAGAGAAAGTTTGTTTCCAAATAAATTGTTAATTAATTAAGATTTTTTTTTTTATATTTTTTTTTCTATAACGTAGTTGAACGTAGGTGAAACTCGATATTTCCAATTTAAAATTTTTAAAATTCGTGTTTTCATTTTTCAAATAGCTACTTTTATTATAATAGCATACTCGTATTAATTTTAAATGTTCTCCAATTATACGTGACTTAATTTTAAAACAAATTTTTTGTGCTTTTATTGATTTTTCAATTATATTTTTGTGAATGCAATATAAACGATATATTTAGTAGATTAGGTGCTTAGAGTGCCATTTAAATTATAAAAACCAGCATCTGGTACATATGTATAGAGATGTTGAGGCATTTATGTATAAAGAGTTTATCATGTCAAGTCTGTGAACTTGAATCCGTATGAACTTGCTATCCTGTTGGCAAAGAAATATGCAATAGCTGACTATGGCACACTCCGATTTTAATTAAGCCGTATCCGATCATTTACTCGAGTATAAGGAAGAAACATCACGGAGTGGCAAATTTATAATAACCTTCATAAACATACGTTCGTACGGAAGTAATTGTTGTTGCAAAATTTCAGTAAGTACTGTTTAATTTTATGTAATATATTATATAAATTTTGAGATATAGCCAAGCTTTTGAAAATGTAGGGTGACCTGCCCAAAAAAAAGTTTTTCGTCATTAACTTTTATAAATCATTTGTGAGAATTTGGTGAGCTTAGCTCAATTAGTTTTTGAGTTATCGTTGGGACAGACGGATTTATAGGCGGAAAAACATGTTTAAATCGATAAATCGAATTCAACGGTAATAGAAAACATACACTTATATTTATATCTCAAATCTCACGACGAACGGAGCCAACATTTTTATTGTACTCGTTACATAACATACGTTCGTACGGCCAACAGCTGAAGAAGAATATTCGTTATTCTGAAAAACATCAGAATTTTCAATTATAATCGTAAATTTTAATAAATTATCGTAAAAATTACTAAACAATTTATTTTTATAATGAATTTTTTTTATATCTGACACAATCATGATTCCAATTCTATACAGTTGATTCCATAGAACAAGATTACATAATTGAAGCTTTAATGCATTTGTTTTCTTTTTGAATAGTCAATGAGCATTTATTATAAAATACTAAATATTACTGCATACTTTGAATTCTTGTTAATTATCGTAAATCAATCACAATCGCATGCTTATAGTCGTACTCGGAAATAAACAATTACTTATTAAGATTCTGTGAATTACGTTTGTATTCAATGAAAAATGCAGCTTTGTTATTGTTTATTTCTTGAAACAAAAAATTTGTAAACACCATAAAAATGCCAGCTCAAGTCCGACGACGAAACGAATTTTCAATTTCGAAATTCCTGCTGTAAGTATATGAAGCTATTTCTCAAATGTTACTTAAAAAAGTTTTTATTCTTGAAATGTAGAGTGCAGTTATCGGTTTTTGTGGTAGCATAGTTAACCGATTATGGCTCTTAAGTCTCTTAAAACCTCAATAACACAACATTATATTTGAGAAATAAAACATCTTGCATACGCATGTAAAAACTTATCAAATAATTTACTTTAATCAGCTTTCAAATAAAGTTTTTATGATGTTTGATATTTTTGTAGTTGATTAATATAGATTAATTTAATAAATGACCTTTCTTTTAAAGTATAAAATAAAATTAAACACACGCCTCAATCAGATTTTATCACTTTTATTACAGGATACAGGCGTAATATGAAAATTATCAAAAATTAAATGAGTAATCAAAGGTTTATCAGAATTTTTCCAAATATTTTAGTACAATATAAAATTAAGTGTGATAAAAAATAATAAAATTTTATTATACAACTTTATTTTTTTTTTTCGATATCAAATATGATTTCAGATTTGTTTACATTTTACACTAATTGTCGGGTTTTAATTTGCAAAAAAAATATCAAATAATCTCGCAAAAAATATTTATATTTAATAATAAATTTGATAAGAGCCGAAATTTCTATTATTTTATAAGCTTATTTACTTTATAGGCACAGCATTTATAAAAATATTTAATCACTTGTTTATTATAACACACGGCATTTTTTGTTGAAATAATTTTAGTGTTTCAAAAATATTTTGCGGTGCAAAATTTGTTTTTTAATTCGTATCTATAAGAAAAAATACGAATTAAGAATTGATAGTTTTATTTATTACTTTCGAAATCGAATTTCGAATACTTTATAACATATTATATGAAATTAAATTAAATTCTGTTGACATATCAGTTACTTGAATATTCTTTAAAGAAAAGAAAACTTACCCGATTACAATAAGTTAAACTGACAAGTTATGCAATCAACATTTCAAAAATTTAGGTACCAAGAATTCAAAGGCTTAAAATAGATTTTCAACTCAAAATTAAGTATTATTTTCATCATATAATTATCACCTGCGTGCCATAACTATAAACGTATACAAGGTTTATAAAATGATTCACATTCCACTAATAATAATAATGGAATAAAATCAAATGTAAGCAAATTATGAAGCATTAATGTAAATTAAGTAAAATTTGAAAGACGAGACGTGAAAAATTTTTTAAATTACTTTTTTTCTTTCTTATTTTTAAGAAGTTTTTAAAAAATATTTTAATTGTTTACTTAATATGTATACGTAAACACAACGGTGTGTACCTATAATATATACAAAACGATATACCAGCATTCGAACGTGTTTGATATCTATTCATACAACGTTGTCAGTATGAAATATAGAAGCGACAATTATTTATTTTATTGTGTAAAATTTTTTAAATAGTTTAATTGTTTACATAATATATAAAAAAATATGTGTCAACACAAAAGTGTTATATACCTATACAAAATTATATGCCAATATTCCAACATGTTTGATACTTGCTCATACATTGTTGTCGCTATGAAATGTAGAAGTAGTTTTAATACTATACGAGAGTACATTAAAAACTACATAATTACAGTTTAATAATTTTGGTTGTGTTTTTGTTAAAAACTAAATGAAATTGATATATTTTTTCGTAATTTTAAAAGAAAAAGGTTAAGCTGGAACTTTACACCACAACAAGAAATTATATAAGAAATTACTAACTTTCAATTCCGTATTTTTCCGATAAATGTTCCAAATTCGAAATCTAATTCAACTGATTATTAATTGATTATGGAGTCAGTATATTACGTTCTAGCGTTACTACACACACATACCAATAAAACTAACAATATATTTAATATTTCTATACATAAAATCTATATATTGACCTAAATTTAGGCGTTTTTAAAAGGTTTTAGCTTTTATTTGGAAAAAACTTGATTTTGGGAATTAATAAATACTTGGATTCTTTAGAGAAATCCATTTCTTAGAATTTATGTTATGAAAATTCGAAATATAGCTCTAGTTTTATACCCACTTAAATGAAACAAAAAATATCAGATTTAGTTAATCTTGGATTTTTTATTTATTCCATTTTGATTTATAATGTAGCTTTAATCTTATATTATTTCTGATTAATTTCACCGAATTCTCACTAAAAATTTTATTTATTTAATGGTACAAACTTTAAAAATTGCCGAAAATTTTACAGAAAAAACTTTGTTTTCCTTGTTGTTCTTTGCATGTATGAAAAATAATTTTTTTATCAATAATATTATTTTTTAATTCAAATACTTATTCTATATTTTTTTTTTCAATTTCTTTATTTCTAATATTGCTGCGATTAAAATAAAATTGCGCACCAAAATCAAAAAATTTTTTTCTCTCTTGAAAACAATAAAGGGTGTCAACACTTTTTTTAATTATTTTCTTGCGTATTTCAATATTTTTCTTTTGTTTAACTTATTTAATTTAATTGTAATTACTATAAATAATTATCACCTTATTTAAATTATGATGTTTAAGGTATTATGCTTTAACCGAGTTCAATATCTTTTTAGAAATTCAAGACCAAAATAATATAAAAACAAAAATTTTTTTTGTTCTCTTTATTTCTCTGATTTTTTACTTAATTCTCAGAGAAAAAAAAAATTATTAATTAAATCCGAACGGAAATTTATTTTGTGTTTTCTCTGTTACCGTAACAGTACCGCACCTAATTAAGTCTTAAATACAACTGAATTAAAAACTCAAAAGAAATACAAATTTAAATAACTGTTTTAAAAATATTTTAAAGTTGAAAAACTGGTTTTGTTTGAGTAGGTACAAATGTACGATTTTATAATCAATAAAAATATTGAATGTGTTATATGTTACGTACGTATACAGTGTATATTTTTTTAAATTTTGAATTATGTGAATACATGTGTGAGCAGTACAATAAATTAATTGATAATATAATTTGAAAATGAATGTGAAAATCTTAATCTTACTTGCCATCAAGCCCGTGTCAATCATACAAATCACTATGTATGACATTCGAATTGAATCGGTTGACTGGGCGCAAATAATATTGTGTATTGTTTGTTATAATGATTATTATTGTTTGTAAATTGTAATAATTATTTAAATCAAGCCGGTTGTTTGGAATCAAATATGTTTGGATGTATGTATGTTTATTGTTTATTATAATAATATCAACTTAGTCAATTAATTGTATTATACGTAAAATAAAATGGAATTTAAGCATATACCTGCAGCGAAATACCTTAGAAATGTTTTGGAATTTCTCGTTAAAATTGTTTAATAATATCTTAACCCTTGAGTGCGTTATTAGGTCAGTTTGCATATTACATTTAGGATCGGATAGGTTTTAATATTTTAATTGAAACATGTGTAGTTATGTATTGTAAAATACAGGGCTAAATCTCATTTAAAATGTATAACAGTTTTTCCGAAAGTTTTTATAGATCTCAATTTCTCATTACTTCTCGAATCCTACCGCATCGCAACAACTCAAATTTCCTGTTCTTTTCCATTTCGCATTTTCATAATTAGTATCGCTAATAAAATATGATCATTTCTAATTCAACACATCCCCAATAATACAGACCGGCATACACCATTAACAAAAAAGAAAGACAAAATAAATAATTTTTTTCTTTTGGGTGCTTAAAATTCTAAAAAGAAATTCTTGTTTTTTTGAAAAGTCATCATTGCTTAATATGTGCAGATAGTTGACATTATACAAGAACGTGTTATGCATGAATATCACAATATTATTGTAATTTTATAGTATTGCCATATGTTATAAAAATAATTTGTCTACTATAACGAGTTTCCATCAAGCCCGTTTGTTTTTTAAACAATGAAATAATGGTACAACTCGAATGTTCAACTATGTTGTTACTGATGTTTCAGGGAGCAAGAGCAGCCTTAACAAATGGATTTAGTAATTGGACGCATATGTAAAAATGTCCAGCAATCATGTACTTAAGGCTTCGTGAATAAGACTGTATACTCTAACGCAAGTTCCACGATGATTTATAATATTGGAAAACACAATCGACTTTGGACTTTAATAAGAAGTATTTTGCTGTGTCCCGATTTTAGTCTACGAATTTATCGAAGTCTATTTATTATTTAAAGCTTTCGTCACATACCCTTTGTTACCTTTAGTTCATACGTTTTTCTATATTTTGTTTTAATTACATCTCTGTAGAGATTTTATTGTTATATCAAGTAAGTAGTGTTGGCAATGCTATGTTAAAAAGATCTTTCGAATTCATGATTTTTCTATTCGATTACAATTTTTTAATCGTTTAATTCGAGATCACCTTTTTTTTTTTGTTACTATGTACAGATAATTCAAGTCTTATGAAATTATAACTTTTGAAGAGAAATTGAATATTTCATAAAATAATGGTGGAAGACGATAACAAGCATCGGGTAATGCTAGAAATCAAACTGTCTTTGGATTGAGAACTACTTATAATGCTGTAGATCGAGCTGATACAAATTAAGTTATTATTGCAGCATTGATATCACTTTGTCATGAATTTTACTGTGTCATGAATCCTTGGGTAAAAAAAAATTTATTAAAATGAATCATAAAAAAACAATTAAAGTAGGACAAAAGTGTGTTAAAAAAGTATAGAGACTTCATCTCATGTCAATTTTATTAAAATCAATTAATAAAAAAAAATTCATATCGCTTCGAAGAGTGAATACATTCATTAATAAAAAGGCGCATTTTATAAATTATCAATTTAAAATGTGAAAATAATAGCAACAGGCGTACTTACAATTTAATCTTTAATGGGATCCAATAATAATAATTGTGTTGCAAAAATGAATGAATCACCAGATTACTTTTGATGCAATTAATAAATATGTTAAGAAATCTTGATTTGCAGAGTTATTTGGCAACCTTGTGCAAACCGCATACATAAATATTATATCAGTTTGAATTGTAGATTTGTGCAACTGGGGTGACAGTGCACTATAACTACGTATAAGGATCTATTAAGCCTAGCACTTCCTGACGTCGAAATGTGCCCTTACAGTACTCAAGATCTGCCACTTTGATAAATTGTAGAGGATGTGAGATTCAGAAAAGTCGCCTAATATTTCCCTTTTCATTAGAGCGACTTTCTCCACGAGTCTTCTTTTTCTATAAAAACGAGAGCATCACACTTTTCTCATCAAAATGTGCTGAGACTCCTGAGAGTCTGCTAGTGTTTTCATTTCCCAGTACAGCCTACGTATCTAATAGGATCCCGGTGAGAATTCTCCCCTGATTCTTGCTTATCCCTTTTTCTTATCTTCTTAAAACGCTTCTGACCAAAATATTGAAATTCGTGAGCTCGCAATAATATGTGGACATAATATATACCTTTATATATATATACATATGTAGCCCTTATCAACAAAATTTTAATTAATTTTTATAGAATCAATCGCAAATATTTTGAATATATTAGTTAAAACGCGGCATGATCCATTTTATGTAAATAAATACAAAAACATACGAGTAATAGAACATTTAAAACAAGAAAAGTACAAACATAGGCACAGAATTATATTGCAGTGTTACCATTAAATTTCAAACATTATTTTACTCTTAACAATATTGCTTTAAATGACGTCAGAATTGTCGTCATAACTCATAACGAATACAAAAGCAAAAAAAGTAATCACAAATATTTGATTAATAAAATTTGTACACAAATTATTCACCACATATTTAATAGAATAAGAATGAATGAAGCATAAGAGTACTCGGATATCCGAGTACTCGTACTCGTATTGTGAGTACAATAACAGATTGTTGTAATTGTTAACAAAATAAATTCTGTTATAAGAAAAAAATAATAAAATCTAACACCTTATAATGTAGGATATCCATAATGTATGCTAGTAATAATCTGTTAAATTGGATAAATTAGAATTTTCCAAAAAAATATTGCATAAATTTAGGCGAAATGGAATTAAAATAAAAAATATTAGTCTTTTATTCAGTTTTCTTCTCCGTTGTATGTACGAATGATTCATGTATTGGAAATGGTTTGGACCAAAAATAATTTACACATAATTTATGAGAATAAAGGACGATGAACCAACTTTTAAAATGAACTTTTCAATTAAAATTTATAATTTAATTAAAATTCATTTGAAAAAATTGAAATGTAGAATATTTCTCAGCCTAAGACTTATGCAAAACTATAAAGCATAATAATATGATAATTAAGGCGTAATCAATCGTCTAAATAAATATGGTTATTGTACCACAAACTGGAACAGTCGGTTATAAAAATTTGTGAGCCAAACTTCAACAATTAATTACGAATGACTTCATCTTTTTTACATCAACAACAATGATTAATTTTCAGTAACGAAGTTATGTTCAAAATCTAATAAATATTCAAAACCCAAGTCGAATTCCGGAAAGTCTCTGTTTCCATTAAATCAAAAAAATATAACAATCTTAATTCCAAACGTGTTTAATGCTTTTACTTTGAAATATTTTAGAGAAATTCTATACGGAGCTAGTTCTTTTCATTAAAATTTATTTTTCATAAAAATATTCGAATAATAAATGTCATTAATGTCTTATAACTACATTGTTCTTACTGCTACTGCTATCACATTCTATTCTAATACCAACGCTATATATACAATCACAAAATTTCTCTACATATAAACTTTCAATAAGTTGTTATAGTTTCCCTTCTCTCTAAATTCGCTTTTTTAGCTAATTTACCATCTTTACCATATATAAAATATTCTTCAATTTCAATAAGACTTTTACCTTTTGTCTCCGGTAAAAATAAATAAAGAAATATTATAGATAGAAAAGATACGGCACCATAAAATGCAAAAACATTTTCTTTTCCAATACCATCAACCATAGCCATATATCGATTAACAGCTATAAATGACATCAAATATCCAAAACAAGTTGTAATTCCAGCACATGGACCACGTATTTTTGGTGGATAAACTTCTGATAGCATTGAAAATGGTAAAGTTAATAAACCCAAAGTACTCGTCAAAATGTATACAATAATACAACCAACTGCAAAATATGGTATATTACCCAAATCTGGATACCATGTACATGCAGCTAATAATATCATACATATTGACATACCGAAACCAGATAAAATAGCTGGTGGTCTTCTACCCCATTTATCATAAATAAAACCAACTAGAAATGTTGTTAATAAACGTGTCAATCCAATAATTATTGCACATAGTACAGGATCAATATTAACACCAGCATCAATTGAAAGTTGTACAGCATAAACAATGACAACGAAAGTTCCAGAAAATTGTTGAAAAGCAAAAAAACCAATCATAATTAGTAATGGTTTCCAGACCTCTGGTCTTTTTAACATTATCCATAGTTTTTCTTTTTTCTGACCATTCGGATTTGATAATGATTTTTCCATTGTCGCAAAATCATTTTCAATTTCATTATAAACATTTGTATCTGATTTTTTAATTCCATTGAAATAACGTAAAACTTGTTTTGCCTCTTCATTACGACGTTTCGATAATAACCAACTGGGAGATTCGACAATAATAAAGGCAAGCATGAAAGCAATTATTGTATAACCTAAAGCTAAAATACTAATTAATCTCCAATCATCCTGTTGAAACAAAACAAAAAATAATTAAAATTACAAATTTTGGTTAAAAAAATCTTTGCGTTACTCTTATAAAATATCCTATTGTATAAATAATGAAAACCCCAGTAGCAATACCGACTGATGTTCCCAATGTTAAACGACCTCTTAAACTTGGATGACTTATTTCAGCAGCATATACACCACATGGTGAACTAGCTAATCCCATTGAAATTCCTATATATATATATATATTGTGGTGAATTTTTTTTTTTTTAAATTTTAATAATTATTTTACCCATAAGAAATCGTGATATCATAACTTGAATGAAAAATATTAAATTGTCCTCATGAAATGATGATGTTGCCAATATTATCCATGACAATATTGAAATTATATTGACAGAGATGACTGTTCTCTTCCGACCAATTTTATCCAATAAATAACTACTTAAAAGACTACCAAGTGGACATGCAATTGCATTTATGGATGCTACAATAAATAAATTATAAAAAATTGCATATATTTATGGGGGATTGAATAAATTCAGGTTTGATTTTGATGTAATCAACTTACCGTACCATGATCCTTGTGATTCATTTAAAGCATATGAATTTCTAGTATCTTTTAATTGTGCTAGAGTAACAGTTGGCAAACCTAATGCCATTCCACCAGGGACTGAGCATAAATTTGCTAAAACAACCATGGATACCTTTTTTTTATAAAATAGAAAGCAATTGTATTTACACATTATCCAAGAAATTAGAATTATTTTATTAATGTACCAAGAATATTTTAATTTTTAGAGGTTACAAGTAACTAAATACATAGTTTGAGTTTTATAATTCTCAATTTTATTACAAATTCAAGTTCTGAATATGAATTCGAGTCCTTGTACATATAAAAGTTATGCATACAGGTATATTTTAAACTTGAATTAAGCAATTCATGAATAACACAGAATTTGGCGTTCTTTCAATTTTGTAAAGAAATTCAAGAATACTATTCTAATAACAGCTTATTGGCAATTGAAGGGATTGCAAAATTAAGGGGCTAAGCTAAAAGTCCCCTCTGAAAGGGTAAAATTTCGAGTAAACCGGTTTAAAGACAGTTATAATTTAGTGTTTAAAGTCCGATAGAATGCAATGAAACTTACCTGTCGGAGCACAGCTCTTGTCCTTAATCCTAATGGTTTTGTGTTACTAAAAGTACTTAAAGATCTACTAAATTGCTTTATTGTTTCCAGTTTTGGCCGCATCTTGTTTTTTTGTTTACCAAAAAAAATCTCAAAATCTGTAAAATTTCCAAATTTATTCAAAAAAAATTTAAGTGTCCGAATATGTGAGAATATTTTAATTTTATGCAGTTTAATTGTTATTAAATCGAATTGTTTATAAATGAATAAATAATTTATTGAAATTATTAATATTGTTGGTGGGTTTTCAAAAATTTCATCTTCTATTAAATTCAATTGTGAAATTTAATAATTTCTTTTGTATTTAAATTTTATTTGAATTTCAAATCTTAAATGAAATTCTCATAATATGAGAAAAGGCATGCAAAAGTCTAATGATTTTTTTTCTTGATTTCTTGTAAGCTTTCAATTAAATTAAAATCATAACAATTTAAATGAAATTCAAAAATTTCTAATAATTTTATTTTTAATAATGCTTTCATTCATTATTTTGCATAAAATTTCAAAAACTTTCCTAAACCATATAGCAATATTAATTGACCATAAAAATGAATCCAAAATATTATCGCTATATAGAATTTTTTTACTTATATAAATGGAGAATTCAATTTTAATTACCCAGGGTAACAATTACTTTTATTATAATCTAAAAATTAATAATTATTAGTTTTAAAATAATTGCTGTTATACATACAAAATATCAGAAAGAAGCTAGATAAGGAAACCAGTTCTTTTTAGATCTTTAAAATAAAAAAATATTAAAAATTTATTATACTAGTATTTTATATAGGATTTTCAATAATAAAATTCTAGTAGAATAATTTAAAATATTCATTAATAGACTAGGAATCTTGTGACTTCAAAACTGATTCACTTTAAGATTAAGAGTTTGAAATTCAATTCAATAAATTATCAAAGTTCAAATTTTAAATAAAATTTTCAAATATTCAATGAAAGGGTTGAAAATCCAATTTGGTTTCCCACAAAAAAAAAACCGATGTTAAACCAAAAATAAAGTTTATAAGTATAACAGTTTGTACTTTTTGTTATACGTAGTATAACAATTTCATTTCTCGCAAAAAAAAAAATTCAATTTTCAACTAAAAAAAAATTTATGAGTATAACAGTTTGTACTTTTTGTTATACATATAAAATATTTTGTTATACATATACATATAAAATGTTTAAACGTAATGGCTTAAAAAAGAAATTAGTATTTGCCCTTAATAATAAATTCCGTATGATTAACGAATTTGGTATAAATGTGAGGTGTTTCTTTTGTTTGCGGTTTTGTATACAATTAAAAATTTAAAAATAAGTAACTTATGTTATACACTATTGTATAAAACTGGAAGTGTTTTGAGATCACGGGAATTTATTTTTTACATTCGATGATGTAGTGCCAAAGTATGCTAAGTAAGAAATTTCTGAAAATGCGATTTTTTACACTATAATACTAATTTGAAACGTTTCCCTTTGTGTGGTATAGAATTCAGTGCCGTACGTGTATTACCTTGCCAGAGAGGTGTGGTTGAAATAGGTTAAGTGTAAGGTTGAAGTAGCGAAATACGCTAAGCGCTTTCTTAGAAAGTTTATATTACAAAAACTGACATAGTGATGAAACACAAAATACTAAGGCACATCAGTTGTTATTAGTAATTTTAAGACTATAAGCCATTTTATGGTAGTTTCGCAAAAACTCAAATTTTAAAGCTCATTTGAAGTCAAAAACTAATTTAAGTAGTTTAATTAGAAAACAAAAACAAGAATAAAAATTAAATTATATAACGTTATTCTAATTAACTCTGAATTAAAAGGCTTTAGAAAATTTTAAATTTGCTACTTAGCATATTTTTGCGTTACACCATCGGTATATAATTTTTAATATTACAGTCAAACGTCGGCTTATTCGAACCTTCTGGTTGGTAAAATAGAACCTTAAGTTTATAAAGAGCCTTAAGTTACCAAATTATTGCATTTACTTACAGCAGAAGAGTATAGTAGTTAAAGAGCTATAGACCATATAACAGTTATAGCTCAATAATATTTAATTATTTTAAAATATAATTGATAGCGAAAGCGGTTGGTTCGAAATTTTTTAATTTTTACTTTTTTTAACTTTTTAAGTTAGTAGTTATTTAAAATTTATTTTTTGTGTAATTTTAGAAATTTGCATCTTGTGTACACAACACTTATTTACAAATATTCAATTTATATTTAAAATATTAAAAAAAAATTGTATTCCAAAATTTTCACCTGAATTTTAAAATTAAAAATATTTAATTAATTAAAAATGACTTTCTTAATTAGAACTCATTTTTCTTTATCTTGCTCTGTCTAATAATAAAATTTAAAATTCCCTTTCCGCTTTTGGGTTTATTTGAACCAGAACTTAAAGGCACAACCGAATTCAGTTAAAAGTAAAATTTAACTGAAGTGAAAATTGAAAAGAAAATTTTATTTTACATTAATATGTAAATTATTTTTTTTAGTTTAATTTTAATTAATTCATAAAAAAAGTTCTATTGTGAAGTTTTTTTTTTTAATTCTGTAAAACTTATTATTATAAACCTTGTAAGCTTGTATGTAAATAATATACTTACTATAGTAAGTTGTAATAAAATCAAAATATTTACCTTACGTTGCATAAATAAATACGTAATTAAATGCGTTCTTATTCCGGAGCAAATTTTATGCATACTTCGAAAATTTCTTATGTTTTATGTTGTCTGGAAAATTCATTATAAAAACCTTGTCTAGTACTTAGTAAAAATAAAGTTGTACGTGCATTGACATAACTAAAAAATTATGTTTAAAAATTGATCGCTTTAAAAATTATGAAATAAAATTCTAAAGGTAATACAGTACGACTATACTTAAAGTATAGTAAAAGGCTAGTTTTGTCCGCTCAATATTTGGCAAATTAACAAAGAATTGAGATTTTGTCTGTCTGGAACGCTTATAATAAAATTTGAAGTTAGATCTGTCTGACACGCTCAATATTTGACAAATTAATAAAAAATTTGAGACTTTGTCTGTCTGGAGCGCTCATTATAAAATTTCAACTTTTGTCTGTCTGGAGCGTTCATAATAAAATTTGAGGTTATATCTGTCTGGAACGCTCAATATTTAAAAATTAACAAAAAATTTGAGATTTTGTCTGTCTACAACGCTCATAATAAAATTTCAACTTTTGTCTGTCTGGAACGCTCAATATTTGACAAATTAATAAAAAATGAGACATTTTCTGTCTGGAGCGCTCATAATAAAATTTCAACTTTTGTCTGTCTGGAACGCTCATAATAAAATTTAAAGTTTTATCTGTTTGGAACGCTCAATATTTGAAAAACTAAACAAAAAATTAAATTTTATCTGTGTGGATCTGCCCGCTCTTTGATTTCTAAATAGAAGCAAGTACTTAAAATTGATACTATTAACGAGCCGTTTTTTTCACACTACTGATCCATTTTGAATAAACTCGTAATAATTGCATTGTATATAAAACGCATTTATTTTTAATTGTAACTAATGGGTATGTGACCTTGCTACAAAACATGTTATCCATTACATTAAAATGTTAATAATTATTATGACAGATATAATTGATGAAATCTTGAAATTATTACATATCTTAAATTGGGCTTAGAAAATTTTACATTAAAATTGCATCAGATTTTCGATGCAGCTGCTGTTTTTAAAATAAAACTTTCTATATATAGTTTTTTATATTTTTGAAAGCTTATTCAATTATACGGTTAACTTTAACGTATTTAGTATTCTGAAAGCAAAATATTTATTCATAATTTGAGTGGGGTGAAGAATCTTTTAAGTGAGGCGGAAACGTATAGATTAACAGAAATAATTCTTTTAATTATCAAGTATGCTCGATATCAAATGGCCCAAAATTTTCGTTACGAATTTAACTGTCATAATATAGAGTTCGCATACATTTATATTCTGCGCCATCTTTCGTAACGAATAGTTATTACTCGTAAAATAGCACCAAAATAATTTTGATTAATTACAACATACTCATTTAACACTTATTGCTGAGCACAAATTTATTTATTTTCGACACAAAATAATTTACTTAGAAAATAAAACAGGTATGTATGCATGTATGTAAATGAGTTCAAAAAGATTAAGTGGAATGAGAGCAACACTATAATGATGCAATTATGTAGATATCGCCAATAAGAATTGTATAGGATTTCAAAATGTAAAACAAAAATTCTTTTTTTTCGAATCCAGTTTTAATCAGTTTCTTATTCTGTTGTCATATTTTATTTTCTGCCTTTCATAATTTATGAGTGTATGTACATAACATCAATTTGTATTTTACTTGTTTTCAAAATTAATTGTGATAATCACGTGCACAAGTACACACATATTATGTTATGATTTGATTGTAATCGATTATGACGTTCCCAAATGACGTATTGTCTCTTAAGTTTTCGTATCTTCTTCGTGTAAGTACTCGTTTATTGATTTTCTGATAAATTTTATTCGGTTTGAATTACTTAATAACAGGAATAACATTTTTAAATTATATTTTGTTATACATATACATTTAATTAATAATTTAATTTTTTTTTTCACTTCTGTTTAATTAAAATGTGAATGCGCATGTCATTCATTTAATTGAATGTTAATTAAAAAGCGTGCCAAAAATTTTTGCAATAAATTATTCATAAATTATTTTAATATTCCTATAAATATAAAGAGCTGCAATATTAAAGTATAAAAATAGAATTAATTTAAAATTTTTGATATGAAAAGGGAATATCTGGGTTTATTTATATGTATGTAGATTGTAGGAAAGCATACTATGGAAAATCCAGAACAATTTGGCCAAATCATCATTACTCATATTTTAAATTTACGATTAAAAATTAAAATTAATTTTTAATAAAAATTTTCAAAATAGCTTAAGATAATAAAATAATTTAATTTTATTGATCTTTACAAACAATAAGCTTAAATGGAAAATTCACTACTGGTCAAATGTCGTGAAATTCTTAGTTTATGTCCACAAAAGTCAATACATCAGATTGATTGTAAACTAGAACTTTTCTTTCTCTTGCGTTCATGAATTTCCTACAATTATTCTGCTATAATAAATTTATAAACTCCTACAGGACGAAATTCGGAAAAGAAATTTATTCACGTGTTAGAAATATACCGTGGAGCTCAAAATAGCTAACACGGATTTAAAAAACAACGCTGGTATATTTGTATATTTTTAATTCATAACTCATTTTAAATAATCTCAAGTCATCAGAAGTCTTTGGCGATATTCTATTTTCCCCAGTCAAAAACGAATATTTTTTTTCTACACTTGAACTTATTTAAAGTACTCGTATGTACTCTAATTATTTGAAAAAAAAGTCAAGTGAAAGTAATAATTATTAATAAAATTACGATTATTTTCTTGAAAATACTTTGATAAGAAAGGTATAATATAAATGATAAGTGCTTTCGAAAATTTTAATTCTTTAATAAATTTTTTTTTTGGTTGACTTATTGCTATTTGACTAGTCTGGTCGTATACAGCTATTTGATAATTAATTTTACTATATAAATTAACTATCTTATCAAAAAATTTTGAATTTAAATAATTAGAATTAAGATAATTATTTTACGATCAAATATATTTTATTAAATATTAAGTAATTGAAGTATCGGTCAGTGATCTGCAATGGTTCCTAAAATGAGCACGTTCTTATACAATAAATTGCTTATTCATGCACAATATTCCATGAGTTGGTTCAAATTAGGTTCTCTTCCAATACAGTATTTATGCAATTCAAGAATGGCAGGTGTATCGTAAAATTTCATTCAAACTCTCTAAGATATCTCTAAAATATTTTCAAGAACCATTGTCCTCTTGCGAGTTATTTAAATTTTTAAATTAAATACGCATTATATTTAAAAATATTTTATGATTTCTTCAAAATTTAATCGTAAGCGTCTTCTAATAATCTACTCTTTAAGCTGCTCTAAAATTAAACTTCATTATTATCTTAGATATTATTAAATTCAATTTGTATATTTGGTTTTTTTTACAAAGATTATTTTAATTATTAAAATTTTTGGTTTTCTTATATTTTGCGTTTCATTGTGTTCACTAGAATCTAGTTAAAACTTGATTCTAATCATTTGTTTTTTTTTTTTTTAATAATATTTTATTAATTATTAATTCTTATAATTTAAAGATAAATAAAATATCAATTTATTTCAATTATAGAATTTTAAACATGTGATCATATTTTATAAAAAATTTTAAATAAAAATTAAAATAAGTACAAACACACATTCTTTAATTAAGTAGTGAGTGATTAATAAAATTGCAATTAAATTTTTTGTTTCTTTGTTTTCTGAATCTTAAAATTAATTGAAATTATATTTATTTTATTAATTCTATATCACAGTTTGATCCTTCCAATATTTTTTAAGCACACAATATTTTTTTTTATATTTTTGTAGTTTTTAACATTTATCTATATGTCAATCTTAATGTCAAATTAATTATTAAATTCTATAAGTACATTTCATAATAGCATAAAATTTTAGCAAAATAGTTTTTGTTCTTCTATAATATTCTTCGTCTTTCACGATTAATTCCAGCAATTTTGTCTTTCACAGCATTTATTGTCTATCTATTTAACAAAAATTTCTTTCATTTCAACTTCTGTTGGTTCAGCTGGTTTACCACTTTTACCATATATAAAATATTCTTCAATTTCATGTAAACTTTTACCTTTCGTTTCCGGTAAGAAAAAGTATATAAATAATATGGCAAGTAATGATACAACACCATAAAAAGCAAATACATTCTCTTTACCCATATTTTCAACCATAAATGGATAACGATTAATTATAATGAATGACATTAAATAACCAAAACAAATTGTAATACCAGCACATTGACCACGTACTTTTTGTGGATATACTTCCGAAATCATTGAAAATGGTAATGTCATTAAACCTAATGTACTTGTAAATATATACATAACAATACAACCGACTGGTAAATATGGTACATCAGCTAAAGCTGGGAACCATGTACAACCAGCTAATAACATCATACATATTGCCATACCAAAACCAGACATTAATGCTGGTGGTCTTCTACCCCATTTATCTAACAAATAACCAACTAAAAATGTTGTTACCATACGTGTTAAACCAACCATCATAGCACATAATACTGGATCAATATTAACACCAGCTTCAATTGAAAATTGTACAGCATAAACGATAACAACAAATATACCAGAAAATTGTTGACAACCAAAGAAACCAATCATAATTAGTAATGGTTTCCATACTTCTGGTTTTCTTAACATTTTTACAAATTTCTTCTTTTTCTGGCCAATTGGATTTAATGCAGCTTTTTCCATTCTACTAAATTCTATATCAATTTCTTCATAACAATAATTATCGGTTTTCTTGAGACCCCGGAAATAACGATGAACTTTTTTTGATTCTTCTTGACGTTTCTTAGATAATAACCAACTAGGTGATTCTGGTATACTAAATGATAATAATAATGCAAATACAGCATATGATCCAGCTAAAATACTAATTAATCTCCAGTCATTCTAAAATAAAAATGAAAATTTTAGAATTTGATCATACATTTTCAAAATAATCCTTGAATAATTACTCTTATAAAATAGCCCATTGTATATATGAGAAATATTCCTAATGCAGTACCAATTGATGTACCTAGTGTTAAACGACCACGTAAATTTGGATGACATACTTCAGCTGCATAAACACCACATGGTGAACTAGATAATCCTGTTGTAATACCTGCAAAATTAAATTAAGTGAATTAATGGTCTAATTATTTCAAAATTTGATAGGAAACTTACCAATAACAAAACGTGATATCATAATTTGTATAAAGAATGCTAAATTTTCTTCATGAAATGCTGTCGCCATTATTAGCCATGCTATTATAGCAGTAAAATTAATTGTTATAATAGTACCTTTTCGACCAATTTTATCTAATAAATATCCGCTTAAAAGGCCACCCAATGGGCAAGAAATTGCATTTATAGATGCTATAAAAATTTAAAGAAATTATTAATATTTACTTTTTGTATTTAAATTCGGAAAATAAAGAAATAAACTGAATGAAGAATAAAGATGTATAATGATGAGATAATCAAAATATGATGTGCTGAAATAAGATGACCATTTATAAAAAATAATTTGTAATAAAATGATTTAATAGTGATGACTTACCAAACCATGATGCTTGGGATACTGTTAAAGCATTTGAATATATTGGATCTGTTAATTGTTTTAATGTAACTGCTGGATATCCTAAAGCCATACCACCAGAGACTACACTTAAATTTGCTAATATTACTTTTGTCACCTTTAAGTAAAATAAAATAGATAAATTTGGAGTTAAGAATGTGTGAATTCCCAAATGGCAAGTACATTGTGGAATTTTTGGTAAAATATTAAGAAAATTTTATTATAAACACAAACCAATTCTTGAAAATGATTTGTGTCTATGATAAAAATTTTAAAATGTTTAAGATTATTATCCAAGACAACACTCTGTCTATATATCATTTATGTGATAGGCCCTTATTATGATCGGCGAAGCGAATGAAATTTTTTGGCGAATATGTTATTTTCAAATATGAATTCTCTAATTTCGGTAGGTCTTCTAATGTCTTGCGGTAGCAACATTTTTGATATGGCGAATGAAATCATTCGCCGATCATAATTTAAAATATCATTCGATTCGCTTAGTCTATTCCACTAGCGTAGCCATTTGCTTCGCCGATCATAATAAGGGTAATAAACTCGATTAGTTTTATATTTCAGCCTTACCTGTCGCATAACAGCCTTTGATCTCAATCCTAATGGTTTTAATTTAGTAAGTGGTTTATTTAAATCATTATTAATTTGAGGATACATTTTTCCATTTAATGCTTTTGTTTCTCCATTAAAACCATTCATTTTGGTTTCACCGTTAAGTGCTTTTGTTTCGTCCATTTTGTATACTATATTTTACTGTACCTGTTTTAATTTATTAATGTTACCAGCACCTTATTCACCTGTAATCAAATAAATTTTTAATAAAAATTAATAAATTTCATATACTTTTATATTATAATTATAAATTTGATTATATTATTGCAGCTTTTATCATCCATTTATCAATTAAACATTAGACGTAATTTTTGACCTTAAAATTAGGATTCCCGATAATAAAATTTCGGCGATAAAATTTTATAACGAAGTAATAAATTTTAATGATTTCATTGAATTTTTTGCATAGCAGTTGTGAATTATTAAAATAATTTAATCATATTTATATTAGTTATTCACACATTGCGTGAACCTTGACAATCACACGTTGTGTGAACCTTGACAAACACATATTCTTGTTGTTTGTCAAGGTTAAACAATATTCTAAATTATTGGCATTCAAATAAATTCTAGTTAATTGGTTATTATACATACTCTACTGTACTAAAACAAAAAGAGTTTATTATCATTATTTTGGAGTTTCAGGAAGTCAATAAAAAGTTTTTCATAGGTGTAGAATTGTTAGATTATAATCAGTCTTTGTAGTTTCTTAGTTTAAGATTTTGAAAAATGATATTTCGAAAAATTGATTTTAAATAGCCAAATGTTTCTAAATAGTCACAGACTTTTGCATGACTTTGAATTTTAGAACACTCTGTACAAAGATGTTATTAAAATTGATAGTTTCATAACTCATTATTTTTATTCTAATCACAACACCATGTAAATTCGATTGTAATCAATCATTTTCCTTGATTGATAAAAATAATTTCCTTTAAAAAAAATATATACTCATGTCACGCATTATTAATCTACACTATTAAGATTACTTGTGTATACAAAGAGATTGCACCACACCCTTTGTTTCGTTAAGAATTACAAACTTGTTAAACTAAACGTTCTTAGATTTTTAATATAAAAAGCTTTCTTATTAAAATGTTCTGAATGAAGCGCATTTAAAGTTCCAAAGAACTTATTGAAATAATTATTGCGTACTTTAAGTACATATAGTGTTTAATTACAATATTAAAATGAGAACAAAATTAGTTACAAAATTTGAATTCTCTTTTACTCAGAAATAGATGCCCAGGCAAAGCTGTTTAAAGATTGTCTTGGCATCCCTTCTAGAATAAGTATTTTATAATTACTTTTATAAATTGCATGCCTTCATGTCTGTAACTCGATTTAATGAATATATAGCCCAACAGAAATAGATTTGGAAAACTAATCACGGGAAGCACTTTGAGTCGAAATCTCCAAGCTCTACTTATGTTTTCGCATAATTTTTTGAATTAAAAATGCTAACAATATTCTTTTTACTTTCTTTGGATTTTTTATAATTAAAAAATTTTTGAACTTGAGCCTAATTTCAACTTTATTAGAAACACGCATGGAAATAAAGCAACACAAACATTTTATAAAACTTACTTCTGAAAACGCTCTCTATTTTCAACTCACTCTTAACAATAATATAACATTATAAGAGAACGAATGGTGAGAAACAATACCTACTCAATACTCATTTTTATACAAAAATTTTGAAGAGCAAATTTCCGGTTTAAAATAAATTATCTATAAAATTATGTGATAATTTCAATACCAGTAGTACCACTGACTGTTTTCAATACCGAAAAGCTATTTCAGCAATAATTTTTTTTTCTTCTTAAAAATTTAGAAAAAAATTTTTGCAATTTTTCTTCGAAATATTTAAAAATAGTTACATTTTTTTTTACAATTCCAGTTTTAACTAGTTTTTTTCTGTTATTCCGCTTGCAAGCTATCATGCTCATAGCTAAAATATGAATAAAACAAATACTGTGGCAACATTTTTAATAAAATACAAAATCTAGATATAACTAGACAAATTGAGGTTAATTAAGTGAAAATTTTAATATTTTCGATATTAATAGATATTTTAAATATGAAATCGGATCAATTGACTGAAGTGGCAATGAGTAAATAAAAAAAAAAAAAAAATGGAGTATGGCGAACCGTTTGCTAAAATAAGTGTTAATAAACTTATTAAACATTTTATAAAACTCGCTTAAATTTTTATTTTTTAATTGAATATCATGCTAAAAGAGTTCAAAAATTTTTTAAATTTAGAATTTTTTTTCTGATATACAAGCTGCTCTTTTCAATGCAAATTTGATACAGAATACACATTTACAATAATACAAATTTAGCACAGAATATGAGTTTGAATCCCAAACCACTGAAAATGCAATGATAACCGTCTGTCTGTACAAGCAATAACTTAGGACACAACACATTCCCGAATTTTACCAAATTGTACAAATTAACATGAAATGTAAAGTACGAAAAATCTTTTTTAATTTACATTTGATCGAGGTATTTGACCGAGGTAGCGGTTCAAATACCTGTCATACAACATTACAAGAAATTTTGAAAATACGTACATACATCTGACAATCATTTGAAACAATTACTATACACTCAAATTTCGGGGCCATCGTTCTGAACATACTCATAATTTAAACTGTTAATTGAACAAACATGTTTACAATAAATGTGTTTACACAAAGAAATTATTATTTTTCCTTATTTTGTGACGTAACAATTTATTTGGTATTATTTTTTAAATAAATATTACAAAGTGCACATTTAGTAATAACAGTAAAAAAATAATATTATTGTAATATTATAAATTTGTATATTTTTAAATAATAATTTCATTATTAACTTTAATAATAATGCCACTTATATAATTAAATATTTATTTAGCGCGTAGCGAGTAGCGCGTTGAGTACCCATTATAATAAATTAAAAAGTAATTTTAATTTGTGTAAAATTACTAACAATAATAATAGTGGGTATATAGTTAAACAAATTGATTAATCAATTAAACAATCATATCCAATTATCTGTAAATATAATTTTATTACTGCTTGTGGACATATGAAATTATTGATAATAGCTGAGGGTTTTGGACAATTACACACTACACAAGCTATTGTATGCTTTCTGAATTACCCTATTATCAGTTTGTAATTTCAACAAATTATTCAAATTATTCAGTTTTTGTTAAAAATTAAAAACGAATGAATACGGTTCGGAAGGGCAAATGTGGTTTGCAAAATAATTTTCAAAATTTTTAATTATACGTTCTTAAAATAGACTGTTAATTTCAAACATCATACCGTTAAGCATAAATTATAATAACTATGACTAATTTTCTTGATTCTTTCTCATATTATATCGTTTATTCACCGGATATATCATTGGTAAATTAAAGCTTTCTAGTAATTATAAGCGCCATAAGAAATTCCATTTAAAAAAAAATTATTGATTCTTTATTGAACTTAGCTAGATGGCGTTTAATTTTATAATTATTTGCTATTCAATTAAAATTTTCATAATTGCCAGCCATATATGCTTTATATTTATAAAATATAGATTCAATTCAATTCAGAAATTATTTAAAGACATTTAAGAGCAATCCATAGTTTTCTTAATAATCTCCTATAAATTAAAACTCTTTAATGCTAGTACAATAAGCACTTTATTCTAATTAAACCCATAATTCAATTTTTAATATGAAAAAATTCTAAGAAAAATGTCAGAATTAGTAGAAATGTAAATTTAAATCACGTAATTTTTTTAATTTTTTCTCTAGGTTTTTATACTTATAACCTTAATATTTTTTCTTGAGAAGTATTTATATTAGAATATAATATGCGTACCAATTTTTTAAAAAATTATTAACAATAATGCGAAATTTTCAAAAATCAAATATAAAATTACTTAGAAATTTTCTCAAATTCTAGATCGTGCTGAATTTTTAAACTGGTTATTTCCAGTTATCACCGTATAATTATGTTGCTGTGGCAGTGATTAATTTTATAGTGTTTTTTTGTTTCATAATTAATCACTATGTAATATACACAAGAAGATAATATATAGACAAGTAGTTGTACATGCTAGTAACACTAAAAATTAATATGCTAACAAAATTTTTACCAAGTCTATTTAAACTAAACTTAAAAGAACTTATTTGATTAATTATTTACTCAATATTAAACAATATTTGCACCGTTATATCTATTATACGTTATTAATTTTTAATTATAAAAATATTATTTAATAATTTTAATAATGCTTTCAAATTTTTTATCTAAATCCTTCCAATTCAAATATTTGAAGATGAATTAATGGTATTCGAAACATTTTAATTACATATGTTAATTAAAAATTTTTAAGATTATTTTGTTAAAAGAAATATTTAAACAGTTTTTGTTTACAAAATCTACTATGCGGTATTTCCTGCATCAGAGGTCTATATGTGCAGGAAGGGAGGGTAATTTTTCAACTCTTTTAAATTTATTATTGAGTATTAAGTCCATGGTTCACGATCAATAATTACTAGATTGATTTTACCCCTTTACTATGTAAAATTGCATAATGAGGTCTGGTCGTTTTATATTTAAAATTTTATTCGTTTTTTTAAATATTCTGACTAGTTCTCATTTTCATCTAGCACGTGTACGAAAGAATTTAAAACTGCAAAGAATTTTAATTACAGTTATTAATATTAGATCCGCTTAAACAATATACACACAAATGTTAATATTGATTTATTCAATAAAAATACGCAATTTAAAAAAGTACGTACAGTTTGCAAATATTTAAAACTAAAATTGTTAAAAAAAAAATTAAATTCCTTTCACTTTCAAAAATATGCGATTATTTTAATTACAGCTTTTGTAAACCGAAATCAAAATTATTTCTCTGTTATTTTAAAAAAAAATTTTTTATTTTTTTAAAAAACACTTAATTATTTTAAAATTTTCTATAGTTAGAAATTAATTAAAAATTGAAATCAAAGCAAATAATATTTCTTAAATAGTTCTTTTGTCTTTGCAAAAAAAAAAATTAAATTAATTATCACCTTTAATATTACCCGCGTTTAAAAAAAACTGCGCAACCTGTTTTTTGAAGCGAGTTTTAAAATTAAAGACACGAGATTTTTAAAACAACAGTCGACAAACAGCTGTTTTCTTTTTTCTTTTGTTTTTATTTTTAAATTCAGAGAAAATAAAAGAAAAATTTTATTTCTTTTATTTTTAAAAATTTTTAGTATTTTTACTCCACAAAACTTAAAATACTATACGCAACTGAATTGAATTTAACCGAAACACTAGTATAAATAACTGTTTTGAATCAATTAATTTTGTTGAAAATTGTTGGTTTTTTCTTTCTGAATACGTCACTTAATAATTCTCTTATCACAACATACATACGAACAAATGTGTATGCACTATAAGTCATACTGTACACTACATATTTTCCTAATATGTGTAGATTAATTTCCTATTTATATTTTATAATGTATGATGAATGTACAAGTAGTGTGGTGGAATTATGTACGGGATGGAATAAAATGTTAGTATGTAAATACATTATAAATGTATATACTATGCTAACATGATTGATATTCATTGGTGATTTTTTTTTTCAATTTTGACCTTTGTGATAACAAAAAAAAAAATAGCGAAATAATAATAAAAAAAGAGAGAGAATAATGAACAAGAATTATTGGTTTTAACATACATACATTAATGTACATATGCTTGTATACTTTTGGACTCTATACTGTGTAGTATAGTCACTCTTATTAATTAATTAAATTCGGATCATCTGACAATACCGGCTTTTATAAAATTGAAATTATTAGTATTTTTGTTGATATTTACATACAGCACACTTGTAAAAAGATGTTTTATGTTATATGTACGTGTATAGATGTTTTATATACATATTATTTAGGTACATAAAAATATGTGAAATATGCGAAAAATTTGGTTTTATATTTAAAAAATTATAATCATTTTTTTGAATTTTTATTTCAATTGCTAATTTTCTTGTTATTTACAGTGTTTTATTTTTTTTTTATGGGCAGATATTGATGTCAATGTATTATGATAAATAGTTATAATTATGACTTAATGGAATAATGTTAATTAAAAGTAGAAATCAATACGTAGATTAATAGCAGTTTGATACCGAATAAATTTGAAAACTCGTATATATTTATGTATATATACGGCAATTGACGGTTTACGGCAAATTTAGTTAATTTGTTTGAAAACAAAATTATGGCAATATTAAAATTTATAAAGTTATATAAAAATTCATTCTGTATAACAGTTGATTAAATTCATTAAATTCATTAAATTGTATAACAGTTTTATATTGTATAACAGTTTTGTATCGTATAACAGTTTTATATTGTATAACAGTTTAATAATGTATAACAGTTTATATTGGTATACTGTATAACAGTTTCATATTGTATAAAACTTTCAATAATATTCATTCATTATACCACATTGTATAGTCAATCACGCTATAAAACGATTATACCTACTTAATTAAATTCGCATAACATTTATCATGTAATGGGCCTTTTAAATAATGTTCGTATCGAAGGTACATGTTAAACCTACATACGATCATAATAGTCGTTGGATAGGAAGTAGCTTGTGAAGGAGACGTTGATTTATTTAACACATATTACGACATATTTACCGAAAAGAAATTCATTAATTGATTAATTGAGACTTGAGAGTGTTATACGTTCCTTAAGAGTATAACACCCGTAGTTGTTATACTCTTAAATGAACGTCCAAACTAGATTCATTGTTATATTATACGAAAAATTGAAAAAAACTTTTGATATAAAAACTTTTTCATTGTATTATTAATCAGTAAAATTAATGTTGTAATCAATGAACATTGATTAGAACACTTTAAATTAATTTTTCATTTATTATAACACTGAAATCCAATAAGTTGATTAAGATTATATTACAATTTCAAATTATATTGTGGTTACACTAACAAAATGAGCATTATTACATTAATGTGTCATAGTTTTATAATGCATACAAAGTTTTTAACCGCACTAAATTCGATGTATCGTTTTTCTTTCCCACTGCCTTATCTAACTATTTACAATGTGTTAATTTAGATTGTTTATAATTTTCACGATCAATGTTAACATTAGGTATTTAATCACGTGTAATTTAGTATTATTTTACAATTTAGTATTTCATTTTATTATTGTTTTTAGTGGATTAATTGTATCATTGGTGCTTTAGCTAGGAAAAGCAGAAGTGATATTTCCGGCTATTATGCCGCTGACATATGGAACCAATTTCTGGTTTACTCTAGGTATATTAAGTATAATAACACCAATAAAAATTGAACCCCATTTCTCAACATCTTCCTCTCAACTCTCTTCCTTTCTCTCTTTTAAGTTAAACAGAAATTTAATGAGAAAAGAGTAATTAAAGTGTCATAACATTGAAAATAATTTTTGTTTTCAGTGTATAAAAGTATTGCTGCATTAAATTAAAAATTAATTAACAAAATAACGTAAAGACAAACTATCAAAAAATTAAATGAAAAAGTATGTCAATTTGTCAATTAATTGTAGGTACCCACCTATGTAGGTCAAAAATTTTACAAAAATACCAGAGGATATTATTGTCGCAAGAAAATGAAAACCACAATAACTAGCTATAAAATAAAATATTAGAAAGTGAACTTAATTAAAATTAACAAAAAAGTACAAAGTACAAAATTAAACGAAAATTGCCCGTGGCCATTTTGAAACCAGAAATAAAAGCGGTGGATTAAATGTGGACGTATGGAAACAAATGTGCGTATTTTACACACGTATATACACGTTTTTTAAGATGTAATACCTCTGTTGATATAAACTGACCCACTTTTTTAAAAAAAAAATTCACTGCTCACTTCCCCCTCTTTCTTAAGCATTAGTTCCAAGATAGAGATGCAAAGAGTTGACAACTTGGATCTCTAATTTTTTGTTTAGAAAACCAATCTTTAAAATCTTAATATTTTACAATACTTTTTCTATATTTTAATTTATTAATCAACCGTGCACTTACAGACAAATTAATAATTTATTTTTTTCATTTTTTAAAAGTCTTCTATTTTAACCCCCCAATCGGATGACTTTTATAATAATTAAGAAAATTAAAGAGAGTAAATGCGTATCATCTCTCTCAATTAACCAATAAATCAATTATGAAAATTAAAAATGTAGGCTAGACTCTTGTCTAATTAATAAAAATGTATGAGTTTTTGTGTACAAGTTTATTTTATACAATTTTAAAATAAAATCACCACTTAAGAATAAAAAAAGAAGATATTCTAAAATAAATAAGAAGAACAAAAGAGAAAAATGTTTTTATATTACGCGCGATATTTCTGTTAATGAAATTTAATATAATATCAATAAAATGTCATAAATATGAAGGAACGCTTTTCATATACATACCCGTATATAGTATAAAAAAAATTTTCATATTTCAGTTTGCTTTCTGCTCTATCGATGTGATTATTATAGAATTTTTTCTGAATTTTGGTTTGGCACGCGTTTCAATCAATACGTAGTAATATTGTGTGTACATAATTTATTGTTTGAGTTTTAATTAAATAAATTGAAAAGAGAACAATATTTTGATAAGGTCTGCTGAAGCAGTAATTGGAAAATATATTTTTAATATTTAGAATAGGATTTTTAATATATTAAAAGTAAATTTGTTGCCTATAATACGCCATATTAATTAGATCGGAGAATCCGTCCGAGATTTAAAAATTTAAGTTTATTTGACAATACACCTCTCTCAAAATTGAATTCTGACAACTTATTTAATACAGGGCTTCGTTCAAAAACATATAACAACCTTTCACGTCTTATAGCTTATGCGTTATACTTTGTCTTTTACTTGCCAACGCTGTTCTGGACTGCACAAAGCAACATGAATTTGAAAAGAGTGGGCATACACATTAGGTCCGGTAGATGGCTCCTCATTTTTATATGGAAAATAAACGAGAAATCTTTAATATTTTAGCAAATATATAAATTTTTACGCCTTTCTAACCGGGTTTTTATTTACAAACTGCTCGCAACCACTTCGGAGACAAAAATAGCCATATTTGATTGTCACAATCTGTCAATCATTGTTGAGTGTCATGTTATAATTTTAAAGAATATACTAGATATTTCGGAGTTTAATTTAAACCCTCTTGATCGGCTTATATCATTCATATTATATCAGATAATTAAGATTTAAAAAAAAAATCGAATTCAGAGAGTTCGTCTTTGATATAACGTCCATCATATTTCATTAATACATTACAATTTGTAATACGTACGCACGCGTTTAGAATATTAATCTAATTATCAATATACACAATGTCTCTGGCTCGCTCCCTTCTAACAAATGGGTGACTATGAACTATTTATATATTTACTTGTAATATATGTAAATTGATAATGTACCCTTTGTACTCATACATATATAGACACTAACTAAATATTAACATATTGAACTGAATTACAATAGGTTACCTTCGAAAAAAACTGACTATAACCAGTTCAATATTCATTTATAGTGTTTGTATTCGAATATTTTTTAATGTTTTAAATGTCAGATTTAAATTAAGTTTGTGTATAAAAGAAATCAAAATATAATTATATGTATATACATAAGTATAACAGATTTTAATATTTATTTTGCAATATCAAGGTTTTGAGTAATCATTTCTCATTTATAAATAATATGGTTGTATTAATTTTAATAAAAAGAGGACATTTTTCTAAATTTAGATGCGATTTATTTGTAATGTCTTGTCATTAAAATTACTATTAAATATGTATATATTGAATATGTATATGTGTAATACATAATTATGCTAATTAATCAATTGGAATTAAAACAAGAAAACTTTGTTATAAAAAACACTAATTATTCTCCTTAAATGTCAAAAATTTTTAGTTCATGACACACATGACATTCATTGAATTCTTTTATAAATAATTAATGTATATTTTAAGTGCAAGCGAGACCGTAGCAGATTAAATGAAGCTAGAAATTTGACAAATAAAGAAAATTTGACAGATAGTGTACCTTTATTTTCTTATATGCCAAGTAATATGTCATTCTGGTAGTATTTTTGCAGTGGGTTAGAAAGTCTTCGCTTTCAATTTATTCATTATTCATACTTGCTTATTGGTCATGTATTTAAACTTCATACGTATAACAGTTAAAATAACGTCATTAT